CTGCAGCAGTTAGAGGTGTGTGGGAAACCTGTCAGAGCACCCTGTGTAGTCCAAGGACTGCACAGAACCCTGGTCCCCAGGGGTGTCCAGGAGGTTCCCCATGGGCAGGTTCTGCTTTGGGTGCTGAATGTGGTGCTTTCAGACCAGTATCCGCCAGCAAACCCCGCAGACACCAGTACAGCTTAGAGGCAAAATGTTCTTACAGGGAATGGAAGGAAGAAATTACGTGATGGGCTCGAGAGCCTTAAATAAGTTATTGTTTATTGTCCTTCCCTTACAGCCATTATAATTAAATTGATATTGTCCATGGATGGGGAAAAAACCATTTTTTTATGGCCATAAAGCATTTAATGCTTCAGCTCCATCCTTAACGAAAGAACAATAACTCTTGTCTTTCCTGCTTTGGCACTAATTTGCACCCTTTCTGGCAGGAGGGAACCCAAATATTTCAGAGTAGCTTCCAGAGAGGGTCTTACACTGAGTTTGAGGTCTTTGGTGTCTTACAAATCCCAGCCACTCTTTTCTTTGAGGGAAAGGTGCCTGTGTAGGAGACCTTCCTTGCCCAAGAGCTGGTCACCATCACCCTCAGAGTGACTGGGAAACCATTCCTGGATAATCTCAACGAGGGTCTCCCTGAGGACTGTGTGGGACACCTTGGCTTGTCTGGCAGAATGAGCTGCAGAATCCCTGCATCCCACAGAGCGTGAGCCTGTGAGGGATGAGGTGCCAGCTCCTGCAGGGGCTGCAGAGTGTGGGGGTTGCTGGGCTGAGGCTTTGTGAGTGGGGCCAGGCAGATGAGTCGGGCAGGGACAGGAGCTGGGATTTTCTATTGTATTTCAGCTGCGGCCATCAGGTGGCAATCTGACCACTGGGATCATCCTGTGCTGAAGGCACTTTGGGGTGGGTGTTCTCTGGGACTTTCCAGTGTCCTTTGTGATTTAGAGATGTGTCTGCCAAGTTCTGGGCATGTCCTGCTGGCAGCTCTGGCCCCGCTCAGGGCAGAGCAGGAGTGAGGAGTGAGGGACCTGCAGAATTCACGGTGCAGAAAGGCAGGGGAGGGCAGGTATTGCTTATAATTTACCTGGATTGAATCACGATGAGCAGCACAGTGTCCTGAGGTGATGAAGCCCTTTGGCTGTTGGCAGTGGTTAAGCACATCCTTGATTAATGTGAATATTTGTGCTCACGGTTGAGCTGGGCTGTGGTGGGTGATCCATTCCAGCTCCTCTGGTCTGCAAATAGGTCAGGAAAAATGACTTCATATTTGGTGGTGAAACATTCTGAGTCCACGGCAAACAGGGGCAAAATCCTATCACCCCAGAGTTCAAAATATAAGTGGTCTTGTTATCTGGAGCTGTGAAATACAGAATCCTGGAATCATGGAATGGTTTGGATTGGAGGGAATCTCAAAGATCATCTCATTCCACCCCTTGCCATGAGCAGCACACCTTCCACTAGACCAGGTTTCTCAATGCCCCTCAATATTTTGCTCAGAATGTTGAAATATTCCATGTCCTTTTCCTAAAGAGGCATTATATCTGGAATAGTTTTGTTTGACTGTTTCATTTTCTTCCCTGGGGAATGTTTCTAAAGGAAAATCACACACTGCAGGAACCTCAGGACGTTGTAAAGGTGGTGGCAACATCCCTCTTCGGGTTGGAAAAGATGTTTGAGGTCACCCACTGCTCTTCCTGTAGAGCCAGAAAAATAGAAATGAATCTCAGGGAAGTCCTGGCCTGGTGGGTATTTTCCTGATGGTATTTTATATGATAACAGCCCAATAACAAACTGTTCTAGACAACACTGTGATTTTAATACCTGTAGGTGTGCCTAACTCATAGTTAGGAAGGAGTTGAAAAGTTTGGATGGTGAATTAAAAAACCCTTTCAACAACCAGTTAGTCCCCAAGGAGAAAGCGTCAGCCGGTCTCTCCCTGTGTGGTTTCACTCTCGGGTACAAAGTCACAATTCTATGTGAATATTTGTATTTTCTACTCTTCAGCTCAGATTCTTTCCTTGGGCCTGAGGCTCTGGGTTCTGAGGCAAAGTCTGAGCTCAGTGGGCGCCTGTCGTTCTCCTCCTTGTGCAGAAAATGAAAATACCTGGTTACACACACGTGGTGTTTGTTAATTTAACACAGCCCAGCCCTGCAGGAGCATCCCCTGCCCTGGCAGTGCCGTGGGCTCAGCCTGGCATGGTTTGTGCCCCAGCAAAGATGAGCTGTTTGCTGTGGACAGCCCGTTCTGGAGCTCTCTGCCGGAGCTGGGAGGGTGAGGAAAGTGCTCAGGCTCAGCCCCCTGTTCTCCTGCTCTGAGCATTCCCACTGCTCTCCAGGGGGGCTCCAAGGGCAGCAGCAATGGGGATCAGGCCCAGTTTTCTATTTATTTCAAGGTCAGTGAAGCTCAAGGCAGATGGTGCTGCTGATCAGGCAGTGCAAACTCATTCTTGGTATGTTCTGTAAATGCCCCCAGTGAAGAAGTCAAAGATGCTCTTTGCAATGTCTGTGAGTGTAGCAAATGCTCATTAATCTCAGATAAGTAGGTATTTCCTTAGCAGGATTAAATAATAATAATAATAATAGCCTGGTATTTGGGTTTCTTGGGTTCAGTGTGTCCCACAACAGAAGCCGTGGCTGAGGTGATCTCCCAGCTATACCTCTATTATTATTATTATTATTATTATTATTATTATTATTTAAACCAAACACAAAACATATCAGAAACCCACCCAAACTCCTCTAACACATTATTCCACCTACCACGATTTCCTTTAACATCAGACTTTCTTTTCCTTTCATTACAGCTGCTAAATAGATTATTCATGAGGTCTCTCACCAACACTAAACCATCACTCTCATTGTTGCAGGACCCTCATTGGTGTCACACAGATTTTCAGCATATGCCCATATCTGATTATCTGTGGAAACAACCTTTCAATGGGGCTTTTAATCGAGTCATTTTGCTGGGTGAGCTTTGAGGGCCTAATTTTAGTTTCATGACAGTAACAATAAGGTCAAGTTGTATTTCTGTCCCGCTTTTCACATCAGCAGGCATTCCAGAGCCCTGCAGTCCCTGCTGCTGGAAGAGGGGCAGATGTAGGACAGCACGGTTGTCACCAGGGAGTGGCCATGTCCCACGTCCAGCTCTTCCCAGCAGTGCTGACTGGTGATGGAGCCCCTGTGTGTCTGAGCCTCAGAGTAAATGAAAATTCATTCAGAACTGCCCCGACTGTCCCACAGAAGAAATGAAATCACAGCGTTCGGTAGCGAGGTGTCTTTATAACTTCACTTGCATCCCTTGGAAATTTTCACAGGTCGTGCTCCAGTAAACCTAGTTTTGCTTTTCAACTCAGTTGGAATTCCTGTTTCTTAAGTGCAGAAGAGGCTAATCATAGAGGAGAAAATAATTTGACTTGCTAATACTGGGCGAGAAAACATTTACTGCAACCACAAGTATTTTGAGGATGATGGAGTATCTCATGCTCATGAAAGCTCGGCTCTGGCAACATGTTTGAGTAGGGAGGGCTGCACTTTCTACCAGAGGAAACCCATGTAAGCTGTAGCAGGCAGTTCTCTGTATTTCTCCAAAGCTGGAGCAAAAAATTGTTGGCAAAGGAATCAAAATCCTCCTCTTTAGTCAAGTCTGCCACCGGGTTTCTTAGGCATGAACTCAGGAAAATCTTTATTAGGCATGAAAAAAACAGAGGAGGAGATGTGTCTTGCAGACAGAAGGTGCATTCTGAGGTTATGGAAGGGATGAATTATATATACCTTAAGTATAAGCAGTGCTTTTCCAGCTATTCTTCCCTATGGCTCCTGCCTGGCAGCCAGAGCTGCAGTGAAAACTGGGATTTTTGTTGGGTGCTGCTCCCCCCGATGACATCAGGGGTCAGTCATTAATATGCACTGTGGGAGTCCCTCCCGTGTTGGAGGGTCCACAATGGGGTGGTTGTTGGCCTTGTTATCATAGTGGGAACTCCTGTGCACGGAGCCCAGTCCTGCTGCCTCATGTTTAATTGAGAGATGGCAAAGCTGCTCCCAAAAATGCTTCAACTACTTGTATTGTATGACAAATGTGTTTTTCTTTTCCCCCTCCATGTTTCACTCCCCCCCCCCTTTTTTCCTTTTTGGATGAAAAAGCTCCGTTTTCATTACATATGAATGTCCTTGCTTAGCAATTGACTCCTCTTGGAAAAATCCCCAAACTTTTTTACCCTCTGTGTCCAGTGTTTTCACTCCAGGGCAAGGGGGAATGGCTTCCCACTGCCAGAGAGTAGGTTTAGCTTGGGTATTAGGAGGAAATCCTTCCCTGGGAGGGTGGGCAGGCCCTGGCACAGGTTGGGCAGAGAAGCTGTGGCTGCCCCATCCCTGTTGGGCAGGTTGGATGAGGCTTGGAGCAACCTGGGCTAGTGGAAAGTGTTCCTGCCCATGGCAGGGGAGTAGAAGGAGATGATCTTTAGGGTTCCTTCCATCCCAAACCATTCTGTGATTACAAACTGGTGATGCTTTTGTTACCCCTGCAAAGGTGCTTTGCTGGGAGGTCACCTCAGCCACGGCTTCTGTTGCTGAACCCAAGAAACCCAAATACCAGGCAAACAGTTCCTGCCAAACTTAGCTTGGCTTTAGCTAAATTTCTCTATTTTTTTTCCCCTTTACAAAATACACTGAGCCAGTTAAAGCAGTAAATGGTTAAAGGGGACCTCAGCCTTGTTGTGTGTTTTCTTCCCTCTCTCCAAAATCAAAAGACAAGCACTCCAGGAACCCTGATCCTGCAGAACATGTCAGGCTGCCCTCAGCTCCATCCCAGCCCTCAGCAGCCCTGGCTGTGGTGCAGCCAGTGTGAGTGTTCTCCCCTCAGCTCCCCCTGAGCTCTCCAGGGGAGGTTTGGCTTTCCCCCTCCAAGCGTGGGAGCTCGGCTTTGCGAGTCTTCATCCCGAGAGGAGACTTAACTGATGTTCACCTGAGTATTTCAGTGTGTTTTGTTCTGCTGTTTCCCCTTTTAGGTGACAGCGAGATTGTAAATAATATGTACGAGACCGACCCCGATCTCCTTGCTGGCGAAAGCGCAGAGGAGGAAACTGAGGACAGTATAATGTCCCCCATTCCCGTGGGACCTCCGTCACCCTTTCCCACCAGTGAGGACTTCACTCCCAAGGAGGGCTCACCTTATGAAGCTCCCGTCTACATTCCTGATGACATTCCAATCCCACCAGATTTTGAACTCAGAGAATCTTCGATCCCAGGGGCAGGGCTAGGGATTTGGGCCAAAAAGAAGATTGAAGTTGGGGAAAGATTTGGACCCTATATGACAGGACAGAGGAGCACATTAAAGGAAACAAACTTTGGATGGGAGGTAAGCGTGTGGAATGTGACCACCACATTCATTTCTCTTCTCTGCCAAGTGTTCATGAGGCTGGACTGGGGCCTGGTGGCCTGGGGACGGACACGGTGACTTTGCCAATGCGTAATTTTGCCCCCCGCCCCCAATAACCTGAAGTGTTTAAAATCGGCAGAAACCCCTTTAAGATCCCTTCTCGGGCTACAAAATCTGCTCTGGCACCATTTTGGAAGGTTGGTTTGAAATGGTGTCGGGTCACTTCATCAAGTGCTTGTCATTTCGAGGTTGTGTTCGGGACTTGTCGCGGAGGAGGGAATGGGATTAGCGGCACCGTGTTCTGTCGTTGGGGGTGTTACCTTTGACTCCCAGCCCTGTCAGCGGAGCAGGGATCATTAACTGCTCAGAGGGAAATACCATGTACCCATTACCTGCCCAGATGTTCTCGAGTTCTTGTTCCTCAGCAAAGATGAAGAAATGTGAAAGTCATTTTTCCCTAAGAGCTAAACACTAAAAAACGGCGCTCGAGGAAAAAGAGCTCTATCCCACAACTCCCATCTTTCTCCCTGCTTTTCTGGGCTTGTCCCAGAGTCACCTCCATCTCTTCTGCTCCTGCATTCTTGATTTGAAACTGTCTGTATCCCTAATTATCCAGAAACACAGAATATTCTGTGAGCAGTGAAGTGCAGCCTAGGGGTTGTGCTCTGTGTCCACAGTCCCTGTTCCAGCACATCCAGTGTCCATTACACACTCCAGAATTCCTTCCCTGCAGTGCCAGTGCCCAGCCCAGCCCACCACACCCCTGCTGCCACGGGAGCTGCTGGTTGTTGGCCTAAGGAGGAGGCTTTGTCTGGAGCAGCTGGGGCAGAGAGGATTTCCTGGCAGGACACACAGGCTGCTGGATAGGGGAGGCCAGTCCTTCAAAATAAGTGGGAGCTCAATTTTCCCTCCTTTTTCCCTGGGTGAAGCAGTGGCTTGTCCTGTTTTCTCCACTGGCCACTGCTGATGTGAAGTGGTTTACAGAACACTGGAGCACAGGGTGGGAAGCAGCTAAGGATGGAACTGGAAGGCTCACCGAGGGGGAGCCAGCAGTGCAGTCACAGAAGCCCTGTTTTCTTAGAAACAGAGGTCAGAAAGGCCAGACTTAAGCATTAACATTTCAAATTGTGTCTGATTGCATTTGCACTCCTGATTGTGAAGTCAAAAATCAGTGAGCAGTTGGATTCAGTGAAGCCCAAAGAAGTAGGTCCAGATGTTTTTGTTTACTTTTTCAGTGTGTCTGAAGTGCAGGAAACAGCAAAAAACACTTGTTATAAGAACCAAACTCAATAGTGTTTTGTCACTCTGCACTGGGAAATGTCTGAAGAGCTGAAACCAGAGTTTGGCTGAACGACTGAGTCCAGAGTTTCCTTTTCTTACTGTCTTAGTACAGGGAAAAGAGGGAAATTCAGCTCAGGGTTTTGATTCCTCTGTTCCCTCCAGTGACATTCCTCAGGAGCTCATCTTGGTCTTGGCTTCTTTTGTGTGAACATCATTACAGAATATTTAATTGGTATTACTCTGTGTGTTTCAAGACATGGGGGTTTTTGGGGAGAAAAATCCCTGTTGATGTTCTGGCAATACCCAGCCTGGCTCAGGGGGGCTGTAGGTGTGAGGCACCTCGAGACTCCTTGAGGAGGGTTCTGGTCACTCCGAGGTCTCTCTGAAGCTGGGCATGATTTCTCTCCAGGAATATGCAATATTGATTATTTGTAGGCTGCAAAGTGGAAGAGGCTCCTTCAGAGAGGTGAATTGCCTTTTTCTGACCCAAATATTTACAGGTGGCATTTGCTGGCTTCGTGTATCTTCTTGTTTGTTATTTTGTTTTAAGACTGGTTTTTTGGAACACAGTGCAATCCTCCCTGGCTGGTAGAAGTCAGATCCAATCTGAGGAGTGCAAATCTTTTCTTTCTGTGACCTTGGCCAAGCTTTGTCCTTGTGTTCTCTATTTCTGATAAAGGTTGGTATTTGCATTCATGGTTTTCAGAAATGTTCTCCACATCCCCTGTGCTCTGAGTGCCAGCCCTGATAGGAGCCCTTTCTATCCACGATGTTGGCTTTGTGATACTGTTTGGTTTTGGGCTGTAACTGAACAAACTTTCCTTCTCCATGGCACTTCTGGCATTTCAGCTGTTCCTTTGCCCTCTGATGTGGCTGATACTTTCACACCTCAAAGGAGGACTGTTTGTCCTCCATCAGGCGTCCTCCAACACTGTCCCCCACCCACCCCAACACTCTCTCTTTGGACCCTGCTTGTACTTGCGGATACCTCTTGAAGTTTTCCACTTCCCAGTGTGTTTAAAGACAGTTCAGGGACCTGATTTTAGTCACTCAGTACCTTCAGCATTTCACTTGGGACCAACACACAGGAATCCTTCCATGTGCTGAGCAGAATTTATCGAATAAATCCCATGTGGGAGTTTCTGAGCCACTCCCTTCGAGGGTAAGGTTGGAAAAGCCTTGAAGAGATGTTCTGGGCAGCTCTACCTGATGGCAAGTTGCTGGGAAATTGTAACTTGGGATATGTTTCCATCCTCTGTTCATGACATTGGGCAGGCAGACAATTGGCAGCAAGGGGAAAAAAAGGAAAGGGGAGGAGTTTTTTGTCACCCTGTAACTTCTTGGTGTTTGCTTCTGTGTGCTGTTTCTTACCATAGTGATAGTAGTACCATGAGAAGTGTTCTTTCTGCACTTTGATATTATTTTTTTGGTCAGTATTTCTCTGAAACTTGTAGTTTTGACTTGCAGTGCCTCGTGGCTGTTGTAAGATCTGCACACATAACTCCTCATTTCCGGCCAGTTGAGACGTTACTGTTATACCTGAGTTAACTCTTCTAAGAGTATTTTTGCTTCAGGAATGGTATCTGTTCTTCACACACAATCTCTATTCATACTTCTCAGTTGATTTCCTGCAGTTTATACTCTTGATAATCCCACTTTGGGGGTGCCAACCCCACCCCCCAAATCCTGAAAACCTGGACTTCTTCTGTTTGTTTTCTGTAGTCACCAGTCCTGTAGTTCTAACAGTGTTTCTGCCTTTGCACAAGCAGTTCTTGTCTTTTATCACAGTAATTTTATTGTCAGGCTTTGACTAAACTAAGAGTGCCACTGGAAGTGGAATGGCTGCAAAGTGAACATTCCTTAGCACTGTCTCAGTTTTGCTGGAAGCTGCTGGTTTTGTTGTTCTGTAGGACGTGCTTCACAATTAATGTCTGTTTTCTTCTGATTTCTGTATTTTAGAAAAAAATCAAATAACGTTTTGGGGGTTGGAAGATGTGCTATTAAGGCTTTGGTTTGAAAATGGGTTTCTCCCTTCTCTCCAAGCATTAGCACTGCAGAAACAGCTTCCTCTTTTCAAACTCCAGTAAGGGCAGATTTGTGAAAATGAAAATGAAACAAAGCAGTTAATTGTACCTCTAAGTCCTCAGGAAACACAGAGGAAACTTCCAAACCTCATGTTTGGAGGCAGGGCCAGCTCAGTTTTCATGTGAACTGCTCTCTCCAGCCCTGGCTCTGATGAACAGCCTCGAACTCCAGGAGGTACAAGAATGTTATTTGATGAAACTTTCAGGTTCACTCCTTATTTCTCCTGAAACATCAACAGGGATGCAGAATGCTGTGTCTTATTTGCCATATCTTGAAAAAAAAGATGTGTAATTATTTTTATTATGGAAGTTTCTCCTTTTGTCCGGACTGGGTTGTGACGGGGAGAACACGTGCCCTGCTTTATCTGCAGCACAGCTTCACTATCTTGTTTCGTGATTTGCTTTGTGGAATATGCTTTTAAAAATATTCTTTAAATTAAACCACACCTCTCACTGAAGGGCTTTTTGGACACTGGATAGCAGTGAGTGATTCATGCTCGTGTCACAAAACTAAATCCGATGTGTCGCTGTCCCGGCCCCAGCCCCTCCCAGGGGTGATTCAGCAGGACACTGAGCTGGTGTTTTCCCTCTGGGCTTCACTCCCTGACACTGCTGATCGTGTTTCTCTCTCTTTTTATTCCTCAAAAGACACCACCCAACCCAAAAGCCCCGTGATTATTCAGTGTGATGTGACTGTGTTTCTCCCGATGCCATCACTGCCCTGCCTGCTGACACAGAACACACCACTCAGAGCACCCCAAATAAATCACCCTGTGTTTGTGCTTTATGGCCTCTGAGACCTGAAAAACCCATAAGATAAAATGATTACGTAATGATTTTGATCACTTTGAATGAATAATGATATTTATCATAGTGCTTCTTATTTTGCTAATTGTGAGAAGAGTGGGAACCTCATCCTGGAGGGAAATTTAGCAACTGAATTGTAGGGAATTTGGAAGCAATGATGATTTTAGCTCAGTTTGCTTCACAGGGTAAATACCCTTGATAAATAATTATTAGTTCCTCTGTTTTAATTTATACTTTAAGAGAGATTATTTGCTGAAGCACAGAGACTTCCCTTGCACTGAAAGTGTTGGAGCCAGGCTGCTCCTTTACGTAGGAAAAATGAGTGCTTTCGTTTCATACTTGGGGGTGAAGATAGAAACTGTCCCATGGAAGACAAACAACTGTGGAAAAAATAGGAGCCAACAGCTCCGGATGGAGCAGAATTCTGGCTCCACATCTGGGCCAGGGGAAAACTGCTGGGTTTTGAACATGCTTTATAGTGTCAGTGATTCCCAGCAGTTCAGCCTCCCTGTTCCCACAAAATAGGAGGTTTAAATTTTAGCATGAGGGTCTTTTTTATTTTGTTTGCTTTTAGAAATGCTCATAAGTGCCAAGGGAAATTTACTTTGCATGTCTGGCCTTAAATGCTAAAGGGAGAATTATATTGTATTTCCTTGAGTCTTAAAAATACTAAACCACCCTAAATACTAAAATATATTTTTAAAAATATATATTTTTAAGGTACTAAAATATCTGGAAAATATTAAAATAGGAAGGACCCTCTGAGGTTCTTCTGACTGTGGGGGTTTTGCTTCCCAGCTAAAAGAA